TGAGGTTATTTTTAAATCACAGACTTTTTAACCAGATTGTACAAGACAGAGTAAAGTGATTTCCTCTGGGCCATGAAACAGAAACCATGAGTTTGATACTATTTTGGACAACAACTACTGCAAACTGTAGTTGAAGAAAGTTACTCTCTATAATTATTTCATAGTCACCTCTTTCATAAATGGCAGGCATTATTACCATCCTTTTGCGCACATGCAAATAAGCCTTCCTGGTTCCGATTTTGAGTGAAAATTCTAGTATTGTTACACATGTCGACGAGACTAGGAAGGCTAATTTACATGCATATAAAAGAATAACAATAGGCCGGTCCCACCATTTATGATAGAAGTCTATTACATTGCATAATAGCCCCACACTCAAAATGATTATAGCATTTTCATGTCTGAGCTTACAGCAAGTTGTTTTGACTGTTAGTGTCTAGGGCACTGCTTTTGATGTTCTTTGTTACACTTAGAAGTTGTAAAACATTCTAATCATTGATCATTGAAATATGAGTAATAATATAAAATGTTGATCAAAAACAACCGATACTGGTTATAATAATATCACTAGCTGAAGATATACTGTAAAGAGGGAAACAATTCTCTACATCGATCCATTTTCAAAAATGCATTTGCAATATTAAAACTATTGTTTATTTTGAAACTGAGTTGAACTGTTGTTGTTTTCCTCTTTGTATTAATAACTAGGTTCTTTTATAATGTATGAAACTTTTGATGGAAGGGGAAATTTCCATGGATTGCATCAGACTTTTTATAGCAGTAACAGTTCCTTCAGCTAACCTAATTCACAAGCTTCCTGCAAAACATTAACTATTGATTTCACATGTTTCTTTCTTTTTTTTTAAACATTTATAATATCAACAGTGACAGAGCAATAATTTCATTAAACAAATGTACAAAAAAGTAATGAACATCACAGTCCAGTATAGTCCCTTTCGTCTAGTCCCATTGGGTTAGGGTAGGAGGCTCCAAATGACCATTCAGACATCCTCGGACCTGGATGACTTAAGGGACCTTGTGCGGCATTATGCAAGCTTGGGTAATAGCCAAGATTTCCATTGTGTGGGTTGCGTTCATTTCCAGAATAAGGTGTGCTATTAAGGCTGGCATTAGGTCTGTGGCTGAGCAAAGCTGATACAATCTAAGCTCATGCTCTCGGGCTTTTCGACCTGGTTTCTTTTTTTTCTGTCCATTGGCTTTTTTCCTGAAAAGTTTGAGAGATGTGTCCAAGTCTCCCCCTCTTCAGCCTCTTCATCTTCTTCATCCACTTCTACCTCATCATCATCATTGCCTGCTGTAGCCATTCTATTCCTACCAATGGAAAAACAATAACATACATTATACTACTGCCATCCGCCACAAAATAAGCATGATGATAAGTCCTACAAATTTTTATCTTGTCCACTAAATAAACAATGGTATCAGTGCTTTCCTAGTATGTCTTCAAAATTTGTTTTAACATTCTTTTACAAACTTTTGTAGTTGACTACTTGGCTTGTTTTTTATTGATAGGAAACAGGTTTTTAAAGATCACGAGAACAATAACAACTCTCAAACATGGTAGTAGAAATATTAAATTATGACATCATCAGTATCTCGGTTCCATAATTGAAACTAAACATGTGGTTGCGTTGTTTTCATACTGACCTTTTCGTTGTATCTTCTTTGATGGATTTCCTTTTTTTAGAAGACCGTTCTTCCTGCTTTGCAAGATCTCGATCTTTGCGGGATTCATCAGAACCATATTTACCTGCGACCTTTTCGCTCTCTTCCATAACTTCTCGGAAACATGGCTCACAATATGCGACTGAAGTGCCCGCTTTCCAGCCCTTGACAGTTTCATCATTCTCGAACACAGAACAGGGAATACAGAAGTATTCCTGGCATCTTAAACAAGTATATTTTGTATTGTTAAAACAAGAGGAGCAACATTGTTCTTCTTTACCCGCCATTTTCTCAAATTTAGTCTTCTGTGCATGGCAACAACGTAAAAACAAGCGGGATTGTGGGAAAAAATTATTAATGTAATGTATGCATAATGTATGCGTAATGTATGCATTTGGTTCGGCACATGTAAAGATCGACGTATGAATCAAAGTCGATCTTTTGCCGTTCTATTCAACAAGCTCAGTCGAATAGAACGGCAGATCGACCCAAATAATAAACTGTCGATCCCAGTTGATTCATACGTCGAACTTCACATGTGCTGAATTTAATTATTAGGTTCGGCACATGTAAAGTTCGAAGTTTGAACCAGGCCTTAGATGTTCGTAAAATGCGACTCTTAAATGTTCGTAAATGCGACTCTTAAATATTCCTAAAATGCGACTGTTAAATGTTTGTAAATTGCGACTCTTAAATGTTCGTAAAATGCAACTCTTAAATGTTCGCAAAAATACGTTAAACGTACGTAGAGGGTCTGAATGGGGGGGTCAAAATGTCGGTTGTCAGTTAAAATTTCATTACTTTGTCGGTTGTCGGTTAAGATTTTTGACCTTTGTCGGTTGTCGGTAAATCTCAGTTAATAATTAAAAATACATGTTAATTATTCACATTTATTATGCAATTTGTCCAGTTTTAAGACTTTAAACTCTAGACGAAGTGTAATACTTGTAATAATTCATTATTTGTTTTCACTTACCTCGTTAACGCTGTTTTTTAATTTAGCAACGTGCTTATCTACCCCATATCGTCCACAAATTGTATGCTGACAACGCGTTGTGCATTTGCTGACGATACAGTGTTTTCTTCAGGATATCGAAGCCTCTCTTCAGACTCGTCGGTGTGGTGAACGGCGTAGACAGCTGGCGGCAAGGCCCCAGCCTCATCTTTTGTGGTCTCACTCCTAACCGTCCGTTGGCGTACTGGTCTGTAACTCTCTAGCCACTCTTTGATCTGTCCTTCCATCCCTGGTGTTATGTCCTCACTTGGCAAAGGTGTCATCGTAGCTATATCAGAAAGGGGCATGGCGGATTGAGGTACTGGATAGTAGGATTTGTCAGGCGTGTAGTACTTTGCTGCCCATCTAGATGTGCGCTTCAGAGATTCCTTGCAAATTGTTCCAAAATCCTGGGCATAGGTAAGTACCGTAAATGTCTAGTGTTTAAGGTGCGAAACAGCGTGCAAATTTTCCACTACGTCCAACGTTTCGAGCAGCAGATCATCTACAAATTGGGGGTTAATGTCCATCACGTTCTTGTATAGCCTTTCTATGCCCTTTTTAAGCAAAGACACAGATACTTGCGTCTTCTGTGATACAGTTCCCTGTGGACCATTGGTTGCAGACGTCTCGCTCAACTGGTAGCGTTCTTTCACCTTACTCACAGTGTCTTTTACATAGCTGTCAATCTTTGTCACGTTCTCTTTTGCTTGTTTCAAGGACACTCCGTCTGGTTTTATACCCTTAGAATGAATTCCAAAGGTATCGTAAAGGGAGCCAAGAATCCCCAGAAAAGATACCGGTTCTGAGAGGCTCGTCACTATCTTCAGTTTTCCAGCGGAAACATCTGTAACAAACAAGTTCTTGCCTACAGGGCATATCCCTTCGATTTGTTTGAATGAGCATGAGTCTTGTGTCCCATCGGAAGAACTGTTGTGGCCACTTCCTACCAAAGTCCTAACCGATTTATCATCAGGGTTGTATTGCATAACCTTTCCCGCCTTTGTATCCGTGTAAACTACCCTCCCGTTCAAGGTGCATACTTGGTTTACCTCAGAGCAAGGAAGAGTCGAGTTGCATACAGCTTTGGTCACTGTCTTTGCGCTAAGTTCACATTTATAAAGCCCACCTTGGCTCGAGGCTCCTGAGAAGAATGTGCATTGGTCAAGTGGAGTAATAGACAAAAGATTTGTGATGCTGGATGGATAGGCAGTGAATTTCGTAGCATTGCCGTGAATGGTCACTCCATCAAATGTCAATGTTATCTGATGGACATATTGACTCTCGTCATCACTACAAAATAACAAATCATTGCTTGCAGCATAGACAGCAGAAGGCTTACCAAGACGATTAGGATGCATCTGGACGTGTTCTGCACAGTCCGTGTTCTTAGAAATGGCACCCAATTGGTCCTTAAGTCTTTCGCGCAAAACGGGAACCGCTCCATCCGTTGGGAGAGATAGTGCCTCTAAGTGCCTCAGAAGTTCAGCTCGTCGCTTGAGTGACTTTGTACTTATCTTCACTTTTCCCTCGAAGTCGACAAAAGAAATTGTAGATTTTCCCCTTTCGCACAAGAATGCAATCCCATCGATGAAGCACAAGTTCCTAGCATCCTTCAGTCCATCTCGCACAACAGAGACATCTGCTGGCTGGTGCAATCTTATTGTTAGGAGTCTTGATAAACCTGTCTCAAAGTTGTAATCAAGCGCAAGGATCGAGCCTGTTGGGCCTTCAGAAACTGCGATCGGGTGAGGGCATACACCACGTTGGTTACTTTTCCAAAACCTGTATTGTTCTGGTACGATGGTATGCACAACGAACTTAACGTCCTCCAGCACTTTGAGAACTTCTGGTCGTGTTAAACGAATAATGGGTTCGACAGCCATTCTGTCTTTATTCCTAACACATTCAAGTGAAAGCAACTTTCGAAGCTTCTTTTTGATAAACGCCTCCGCATTGT